GAGATAAAAGTGCAATTGAGAAGGAAATGCTTCAGAAACGAGTAGGTTGAACATATATGAATCTTTATCATTGTGAATAAAATTATAGCTTTTTTTTGTTTTTTATGGTCGAAGGTGTTTTTTAATTGGAGCAAAACAAGTCAAATCAGTCAAGAAGTCTGTTTGATAGACCCAATGCCTTTTATTCATCCCTTCTCGTTTTGCCCTGAACTTTTCTCTGTCAGGATTAAGAAGAAGGAAAACGACAAAGACGAGGACATAAAAGAGGAGGAGCGGGAGCCGAAGGACAGACGTTGTTTCCAGTGCGGGGACATGGGTCACGTACGGCGGGACTGTCCCGAGTATCGTCACCTCAAACAGAGGACCACCGGAGCGCCAGGTATCCACAAAATAACCTCAAGAGTGAAGAAAACTGCACAAAATAGTTGTTATTTCTGTTAGTTACTCATTTAGAAGGGCTTCGCACGCTAAAGTCAACTGTCTTGAAACACAAAATAAGACTAATATTCCATTAGGGGGTGAAAATAAAACTGCTTATATGGCTTCTTATTCTTCCCCAGCTCCTCACATGGTACGAACTGTAGTGAGCTCCCAGTCCATTCCCATTCCCCAGGCAGCAGCAGACTGTCCTGGAAGGACCAGACAGCCCTCTGAATGTGTGAGTACAATGTTTAGACATTACACTGGGGTTGGTTCACAACAACAACAGGGTGCAGGATGAGAGAAGTGTGGCGGAAGTTAGCAGACAGAGAACGATGGACTTCACATGACTTGGTTTAATCTTTATGAAAAGCTGTTTTGATTCTTTTGATCGGTGGACCCTTACAGACTAAAGGAATATAAATAATCAAGGAACAGACACATTGAATTGTGGAGAATCTAACCGGTCTGTGTAGCATGTTCATACTGACATATTGATCATACGTTTAAACATTAATATTTGTATTAACAATCTAAGCAGCTTAGAAGCAAGCGGGCGACCTGGCAGGGCTTAATAGGTTTTACACATCCATAGAACTTCTATAAAAATCTGACCAAAACCAGGCCAGGGACTCGGCTATTAATTGAAGTTTTACGGTATTGCAATACTTTCCCACATACACACAGAAAGTGAATCTAATTTTATTCGTTGGGCCTTTAGAAGTGAAAAATAACCGCAAGGTGGGTTGAAATATCCGACTGGACTCTTCAAGTATCTTCAACAAAGTCCAGTTGCCCTTGATTCAACTCTCCTTGGATAACTATGACCTGGATGACTGAGAATCTTCACAGACAACATAGAAAATTATTTTAGCGTTTTACCCGGCAAAAAGATCTCAGAGCTCAAACGTTAGTGATAATGTGAGTACAAGTGATTGACAGTGTGTAGAGTTTTATTGGTTTCTTTAGTCAAGACTTTACAAGTAAATACTACGAGCCTGTCAATAGACGCACGTTTATGATAATTAATAGTCCCTGTCAAAATTGTTCACAATGAAATCTTGATATGTGGGCAAATCAAAACTGGTTTGGATCAACTGGCCCTTTTTAAACCTCTTGTTGAAGCTGTAAACACAATTGGGAAATCAAAATCTAGTTATTTGTATGTTTGAATATATAAATTAAAGTGTTTATTACTAATATTTTCTTTCTTCTTCTCAATAGTCGGATAGTCGGCAGACTCCGCCCTACTCCCCGCAGCCTACAGCTGTCCCTCAGAGTTCCACTCAGTCCGCCAGTTCCCCTCAGCCCTCCCACAGTAAGACCAGTTCTGCTGGTCCCCCGAAGCAGTCTGCTCACCCCCAGGTCCCCCTGTCTCTCTTCAGTTTCCCTACCTCCCATCCAGGCCAGTACCACCCAGGTGCTCTCACCGCTCTGGGGCTTCTTCCCTCCCACCAGCACCAGTCACACCATTCCCAAGGGCAGCCTCATCACCCAGTCCACATCCCTTCCACCTCCTGGCCCATCCACGGACCAGTCCTCACCACATCCTCTGCCAACGCCCCTTCTCCACCCGGCCTAAAATTTGCCTTGCGTTCGCCATCTGGGAACGGGAGTCCCACAGGCTCAGGGGGCAACCCCAGCCCCATGAACCTGAATGACCCCAGCATCATCTTTGCCCAGCCGGCAGGGAGACAGCTGGGCATGGGCGGGCCAGGACGGGAAGGACACTGGCAAAACCACGTGGCACAACCTGGGTCACTTATGGGCAATGGCACTGTAGTCAAGTCAGGTATTCACTGGGTGAACTTCGGTGGCACCATCTGTGTGTTTTTCTGTTGCTGTGTTTTCTTGTTGCTGTATCTTTTCAAATACAGGTATCGATTTAATTTAATTAGGAAAATAGTGTCTATAGCGTTAACAGTAGTTAATAGCCCTTTTCCAACAAGGATTAGTAGTTTAGAGAGATGTTTCTTTTCCCCTAACACACTTAGGTATTATTACACACCATCTCTCGCAGTCATCCACAATTCATGTTTGTTTTCAGATTCAGTCAACTTTGACTTTCAAGTTTTAAGCCAACGTGGACCAGAAAAAGTCTGCAATCCCATGACAGCAAATTACATCTGCTGAGGAAGACGGTGTGATTCTATCAAAAGCTTCAGAAGATATTGTTTTGTCAGCTGTAGTTACATTAGTTCCTTTAGTTTGCACTTATAAGACAAAGATTGCAAAAGACTGATAAGAAGCAGGAATGTCCCCTGCTGATGTATAAGGCCCGGCCTGTTGTATTTATACATTTTGAAGAGATTATTACAGATATTATTTCCCACAGTTCTGATTTAAAAGTGACAACATTAAAGGACCAGTTTGTATGATTTAGGGGGATCTATTGGAAGAAATGGTATATAGTATTCATAATGACCAATATGTCTTCATTAGTGTTTAAATACCTGAACCTAAGAGTCAGAGTAACACTGGCTCTAGAGAGGGCCTTGAGTGTTTTGATATTACTTGAGGGCCAGCAGAGGTTCTTATACATGCTTGGGAAGGAAGGGGTGATGGGGGAAGGGTATTCAGTTTGTTGCAGCCTGCAGCCTTGACACTGGATGCCACTAAATCCTACACACTGGTTCTTTTAATGCATTTGAGTTAAGGGTTAAATGAGGATGAGGTGCGGTTGTTTCTGATCAGTTTAGATAGTCTTACCATCACTGTTGAAGTGGGAACTGTTTGGTTAACACTATATATTGCTGAACATTTATATTTTGAATCTGTTAAATGTTGTTAATGATTGTGTTTTGATCTCTACAGAGTCCGGCCACCCAGCCCAGTTTGTAGGTGTGACCCAAGGCTCTCGGTTATGGGAGCACAATAAAGCGGCTCAGTATGCCCTGTCTCCATCCTGGCCCTACAGGATGCCCCAGAACTTCATCCAGCAGGGCAATGGAGGCTACCAGCCGGGCAAGCCCTTCGTGGCCCAAGGTCGGATAGGATAATGTTTTTTATCCCGGCTAAGTAAAATAATTACAAGTCTCCATTTGTACAGATTTTAACACTCTCTTCTTTCATCAGGGTCTGTGGTGCATCCGAATCCGAACTTCTCACTTGTCCCACATGTCCGACATCAAGTAAATCTGAATTTCATCCAACAGAAGAAGTGAACTCGCATCTCTTTTAATTAGATTTATGGTCAGTAAAATAACAAATCAATCATTATGTACTCTTTGCATCGTTTGATCACAAGAATTTTTAAAATGAATTTTATCATTTTTGTACAGTTTTTATGTTTTACTTTTTTGTCTCATTACATTGATTTGTGATACAAATGTCAAATATTTTAATACCCCCATTTTTGAGGGGGTCCAAAAAAGTGTTTTTATTTTATGTGTAAAGTAAGGAGGAAAAAAATGTAAACCTTTATTTTTATTAGCTGTATTCATACTTTGCTTGCCACAAGATGAAGGCTTTGAATAGACGTTTGTTTTAAAAACAATCTAACATGTCACCCTAAGTATGTAGTGCCAAAAGCAGGGGATAGCAAGAAAAAAGGGAAAAAATTTTAAATATAAAAAAAACCTACCAAAAAAAAATAAAGAAAAAAGAAAACAACTGATGTTGTGTTGTGTGTGTTAATCTCATCAGCATGTTTGGATGCATATGACTGAATGAATGATCCTGGATAGTGTGTTTTTTATTTATTTTTTTCACAGTAATCATGCCTTCTAGCCCACAAATCTGATTGAATTGCCATTTTTTTTCATAGCCAGACATCGTCTGCATGGCCCGTGTACTTTGCGGCCAACAGATTTTTGTTTTGAAACAAAAAAAACAAAAACTTTCCCATTAGTATATAATGTTATAGTTTTGTTTAATGTCAAAATGAAAAACATTTTTTTTCGTTTCCCTATTTACTAAAGAGAAAGTTTTAGTTTTTTTCGTTTCAAACGAAAATCCGTTGGCCGCAAAGTACACCGACCCTGCATGTTAGCTTGTGTCTTTCGGGGGAGTTTTTTTTTGTTGCTGCTGTAGTGGTAGCTAGATGCATGGCTGCCATGAATCCGGCTTACTGCCAATTTGTCGTAGTGGCTACTCAAAGTACTGCAACAAAGAAACCCCTGTAGACCTCCATTATAAAAGTGCGGTCATATTCTGCTTATTTTCAGATCAAAATCTTATTTAAGGGTTGTACCAGAACAGGTTTACATGGCTTCATTTTCAAAAAAAACATATTTTTTATACTTTATACTGCGCATTGCTGCAGCTCCTCTTTCTGTGTGTTGAACCCTGTGTGTTGTTGGAGTGATGCATCTCACTTCTACAAGATCTTTGTTGGGAGTTGCACATGCACAGTTCCTAGTTAAGGACTACTAGCCAATCAGAAGCAGAGTAGGGTGGGCCCTGAAAAGCTGGGAAACACTGCTTTGGTTCAGCTGTATATGTTCCCCTTACCAGCTTGGCACCATGGACTGGATCAAGAGTTTCAGAGTGGTGAGTTATTAATCTGTAACAAAAAGTATCTTTCATCCACAAAGTTTTAACTGAGCTCTGTCTCTACATCACACGATGGGAAATCCCTTTGGGCTGGACTTTGGGCTTTTTCACTTTGCAAACCGATTACATGCACAGAAAAAGATATACAACTCATTAAAGGAGAAGGGAAAAGCCAAAAACCATAATATGACCTCTGCGTTGCGCCTGCAACTCCAATTAAGGTCTGTTGGAGGCGCATTAATATGTTATTTACTTTCAAACCATGAAGGTTATATTTGGAAAACCTTTCCTTCTTTGCATAATGTCATCCCAGTGTAATCCCAAGTTTTATTCAGATGAATGCGAGCTATCTTGGGAGTCAGATAATATATCGATGACTAGGAGCTGTTAACTTTGCATTTTTTTGTATTGAAGACGTGGCAATTTGAGAGTTTCTTTCTGCAACTTTACCGTTTTTAGCAAGCTAAGTTAGGTCGGAAGATGTGTCCACCACTCTGAGCCTGTCCTCTACAGAAAAACGACCATGTAGGTTGTTTTAACCACACAAAATTAGGACTTATGTTGACGTTTATTGTGGCAGTGACCTCTAGTGACTATACAACGTAAACACATGACAGAGTTGGTCACGTATTATAAATAGCCAGAAAGTTGTGTTTCAGTGGTGATGGGTAGTAAGTTAGCTGCTTTTCACCCAGGAGACCACTGTTCAGTTCCTGTCTAACACAAGATTGATTTTTTTTTTTAAATGAAGTTACGTTAGCTTCATAGCACTAGTGATTTCCAAAACATAGGCCCGGCCGTTTTGGGAGGCATGGACAAACGCCACCGGTAGGGGCGCTATTTTAGGATACGCTCATTTGAGTCGTATTTTGAGGGTGGTTAATCCGACTTATGTTGTTGTTTAGGTTGGAGCACCTGTTGCCCATTCTATGGCCTGCAAAGGTTTGATTAGTAAATTGTCAGTTAGTACACCACACCTATTTCATTAGCTGAACAAATCAGAAATGTAATGGTCTGGAATTAGGCTACCACAGTCTCCTTTCCCACTTCTATTTACCACATTTGCTCCCCCTGACTACTTCGGTCTGTACAGTACATCTGGTGTGTTCAACGGTTGCAAAGGTGTGTTGCAGTTAACATTTCATCCTCAATTTATGTGCAGACATGACAAGTGTGAATAAAGACTCTTAACTGGTTACATGGTTGATGAACAGATTGACTGTATAGTTGATCACGTATTTTATGTCCAATATCATTTGACACCAACTACTGTTGCGGTTTCTCTCCAAATGGTGATTCATAAGAGGCGGCTGTAGCTCAGGTGGAGTGGGTTGGCCATTAATTGAGGAGTGATGGTTTGATCCCCGAGTCCTAAACATCAAATCGCTCCTGATATGATGAGCAGGCCAGCACAGGGAAAAGAGAATAGCATCTTCTCACTTTTACACAATCATTTATATCACAACAACATTATAATGAATAGTCTTTTGCACTGTGGCCAGATGAGTCTGGTGCTGGTTTCTTGCTGCATTATGCTTCATCGATTCTCAGTGTTCAGATCTATGATGTGATAGTCGTGAATAAGCTTTGTGGTAGTTCAGCTACACTGAAGCTGCAGAGAGGAAAGGAGAACAAGTGGGTTATAGTTCATTTGCATAAAGTTTGACATGTTAGTTTTTTTTTTACCTCACCGTCACTGTGGAGTTCCTCAGGGAATGCAGAACTTCTTATAAATTGTAGGAGCTTTCTGTAGTGAATCTGTAACAACACAAAGGGAATTCCTGAAATCGATGCCATATGCAACTAGTCAAAACTGAAATGTGAGGCATCACTTGGTTATATTGTTTTTTGTTATTTGGGGAGTTTCTTGCAAATCCCTCGCAAGGGTCAAGGTAAGGAAATGATTTAAAACTTTGAAAACAGCTACTCTGGAAATGAATAAAGTACAACCTTTGGTGGGTTTATTTTAAGAAAAAGACTACACCTCTACAGTCACTCCAAAAACTGCACAAGATGTTAACATGTAAGTTAACTACAAGGCTGTTAACATGCTGCCATTTATTGCAATTTTACATCCATCAATTAATGCAAACCTCCGCTGATGTAGACCCTTGAGATGCAGTTGAAAGCTCCTGGAAAAACTAGTAAGTGGAGCTGACATTGTTTTTAACATTTTAATGTCAAACATACATTTTCGTAATGTAAATGTTAACATTTAGGATCAAATCATCCACATCATTGATTTTACATGGTTTGTACAACCTGTTTGTTACTTTACACCAGCTTTAAAAGGTTTTTTTCCTGCCTTATAGGTTGCAAAAACCATCTGTAGATATTTACAACATTCTTCTCATGAAATTTCCCAGGATCCATCAAATTGTCGTCCAGTATTTATCACATTCCTGGTTTCATCATGAACTGCAGTGTTCAGTGTTGTAGAAATTTTGGCCTTTTGTAGTAGCGCTGGATATGCATTTCACAGCAATCTATCCAAGTAGTTGTTAGATATTTCACTCTTAATCAACATGCTGAATCGCCACATTTAGTGGCCTTCCCACTTTTGGAGGTCCACCCCTAGTGTGTCTTAAAATTCGATTATCAAACTTGAAACTAAACAAAAAGAAATGGTGTCAACAGTTTTGCACACCTGTAACTGTTATTGCTACCTTACCTGGACTGGATCATTGTTTTCAGAAAACATTCGGAGAAGCAGAGAAAACGTCGGTAATTTCAGTGGAACTTCATTTTTCAGAAACAGGTGAGTGATCTCAGATCGATTCAGTGTCCCACTGAAGGCGAGATCAAGAGCTGTCACTTCATCCTCTGTCGATCTCAGAGAGGAGAGCTGCCAATCAGACAGCTCCTCCCTGACAGCCAAGGAGAGCTCGGCCTTATCTCTGTCCTCAGACACACCTTTCTGGAGGAAAAACAGTCAGTTTATCTTCAGTGATGATGGTAACTGTCCAGTTTAACAGCAGTGCTGCGCTATGAATCTGGGATGTAGATCATAGAGCTGGATGACAGGACAGAAGACCCAAAGAAGTATAAGGTAATTTTTGCCATTTTGCTTTGGATTCATTAGGAAACAGGAAACTTTGTTTTTTCCTTAAAAGCATCTTAAAGTTTGGGATGGGATGTGCTTGGAATCGGAAACTATATATATATATATGTCTGCTAGTAATGTTTCTGGCATTAGTTTAACACGACTTCTTGGTGTCAATGGCTTTTTTCCCTGCTTTATCATTTCAGTGCTGCTAAATAGTGTGCTTTTTTTGGACAAATAATTATAATTTCTTCTTCATTATACACTCAATTTTTGATATTCCCAGTAGAAAATTGAGAGAACAGCTCTACTTCTCCTTGGTGAACGACCTTCAAAAGGTTCGAATCTGGATATATATTGGTAGATTTTGTCCACTTAATTATGCTCAACGTGTTATAAGCTCATCCATTTTATTACAATTTATTGTAATAAAATGTTAAAATCTGTATATTTTGTTATATTTTGCAGAAGAACCTCTTCTGTCTTCTGCAGTCCTTCAGCTGCTCTGGGTTCAGAGTTGTGGTGAGTCTTTGGGTGAATGTAGGACCTGGACCGGTCACCAGAGGGCGCTGTCACACACATCCTGTCAGGGACCTGTGGAGAAACACAAATATCAGTGAAGTAAAGCCTCCATTCCCAGCACACTTTGTCCGCTGTGTTTACACTCTCCTAGAAATTACTGAAAAACAGCACAGGTAAGATAAATTTAATTTACTCCATAAATATGATGAAGTACTTTTTCTTTCATTTGAGCTTTTGTTGGCTGAATGTTCTTTTCTTTCCTGTCGTCTCTTCTTCACTCTCTCCTATATCTAAAGGCACAAGATACAACTACAGAACTATAATGAAAGCTTTAGTTGAAAATAAGCAGCAGCAGGATAAACAGTTTAGAAAATGTAGACTTGGACTTTTACGTGACCATGACTACTTTTTACTGCTACATATAAGTCAATACAGGATTTGAGTATTCCTTTGAGGTATTATTAATTGTAATTGTTTATTACGTTTTTGGATCTTATTTAGGCTTCTTTCACCTGGTTGATCGAAGCCCAAAGTGTAGAGTCCACTCTGTTCTGGATCCGTCTGTGAGACCTGGACATCATCACATCTTGTCTTTTATCATCAGATACAGCTTCAACTGGAGGACTCTTTGCCTCTTTTTTTGAAGAGTCTGCTGCGTCTCTTTGGGAGAAGCATGTAAAGGTAAAACACAAACTAAGCAAGCCAAATTAACTCCATTTGTAGGGCCCATAATCATAGTTAAATCTTAAAAATGACAGTATGAACAAAAATAAACAACAAAACTCCCACATAAACCTTAGTAGGATGTTATCTATCATAGTTAAGACAAAGGGATTGATTGAAAACGCAGGAAGATAAAAAAACAAAAGCAGTAGTTTATGTTTGCATTGAAGTTCATCCTTGGCTGACAACGTTTGGATCATGTAGAGATTATGAGCTTCCTTTTTGCACTATAAATTACTCTCAATTCCTCATACAGTATCTTGAATCCTGCACATCATAGTAAGAAGCAGAAGAATAGGAGGAAGAAGAAGAAATATAATGTGTAGCCCTTTATAAAACACTTACAAACCCTAGGGACCCTAAGTGCCTCAGAGAGCAAAAATGAAGACAATAATATGGACATTTAAGGGACAATAATAAGTATCCATCAGTTAAATGGGCTGTATGTAGTCTTATAATAAAAAGAATCACTTTTTGCCTATTTGTGAATGGGTAACAACCTCACAGAAATATGAATTATTCCCCGGCTTTCTCAGTTACCCCTGACAGCCTGTATGCTGCTTCCTATGTGTAAAGAAATCTATTAGCTTAGCTTGCCGGCTAACGTTGACCAGATGCTAATGTTATCTGGTGCAAAATACTACAGTTGGCTTTCCACATTACTTCAGCAGCTAATGCAACCCATATTACTATCCTGTGTACCACTGGTATTATGTCAAAGTGTTGATTTTAGCCTGCACGAAATGATGTAACTGTACAAAGCAAATGTTGAACGATTTGTTCTACTAGCCTATAGTGATGCAAGGCAGGAGCAGCCAGCTAGATTTTCATGGACGCTTTGTAACATTCAATTTAGATTAATTGTGGTTTTACTGATGTTCAGGTATAGATAGCTTCTTCACCGGTGTCAGTGGCTGTAATTTACGTGACCCACATAATATCCAATAATGCAACATAACAACAGGCACGCATAGACATCAAATATATTCCTGTTTGCACACAACTTCCCTGTCAAACAGGAATATATTAATTGAAGAAACAATCAAAATATCAGGTCGGGAGATGAGACTTTGTCGTTTCGATGTCCTCCCTCTCTCTGCCTGTTTTAATAAGGAATGAATAATAAAAAAGAAGAAGAATAAGATAATAATAAAGAGTGTATCTGAATCTTTTGTTGTTGTAAAAAAAATTAAATAAATATTAGTGAGAAGTGTCCTTTTTTGTACTTGAGCCCCTGCCCCCCCAAATGTCTGGTACATCCCTGCATGACAGTACAGAACAACAACACACAGAGGAAGACCCATATAGTACTGTAACGTTACTTACCACGGTCTAACTGTGATACTAAAGTGCATGGATTAGTTCATCGTCAAGCTGATAAAATATTACTGTAACGTTGAGGTGGGAGTTTACCTGAGTTTCTAGCATGTGTGACGCCGTCTCTGGTGCGTCGGCCTCTGTTTTTACTAACAGCAAGTGCTCGATCATTAGTTTGAGCACATGCACGAGCACACGCTTGGAAAGGTAGTGGTTGCAATCTGAAACCTCACTGCTAGAGGCCACTGAAAACTACACATGGCCCCCTTAAATGTCTTAATTGGGTAACTTTGATCTGAGTCCTGTGAGCTTGTGAGAGTATCGTTATCCAGCTGCTAAATAAACAGCCACATTTGTTTTTATACTCACCCTTGTGGATCCTCAATAAACTGCTTGACTTGTTTGCTACCTATGATCTTGACAACAAGTCTGGGGATTGTATTTGCTCTAGACATGTTTTTCTGAGCCACGATGCAGGTGATGTGATCGGGATTCCCTGGAGAAAGAGACAAAGAGCAGGAGAGTTATCAGTCACACAGCTGATTGAGGGCTGCATGGCTCAAACCTTTACTAAAGCAGTGGCCTTGTTTTCCCACATGAAGGCATTACAATAAAGCGCAGCACTTCCTCAAGGCGTTCTGCCTGTATAATGATCCTTTACTTACATGTACAATCACTCCATTTCCATATTCCAGTTTTTACTCATTTCTCGCTTACTTTTCCACGACTAAGTCAATCTTGTTTCTTGCACTGCGCGTCTGAAAAGCAGTTTCCTGAGGTGTCAGGCTTGCTGTTTGTTCTCTCTGCACCATGGTTACCTCTCTGTTTCCACCCCTAAGCTGCAATGACCGACACCCTACAGCGCTCGGCAGACGACTAGGAGTCACTTCAATGCACAAACACACTCTTGTGATTTATAAGTGTGTATTTTACATTTTGTGTCTGCTGGCATTATTAAACTTGTGGAAAGGTAGAGGAGAGAATTGACCAGCAGGTAATGCTGCAACCAAATGCCAGATGAAGAAATATGACATTCATTTTATGACCATTTACTGTTTAATTTCCTTTCCATCTCTATTGTGTGCACATGTTTGTGTCTAATGTGTATCAGGCTGCAGTGATATATATATATATATATAGTGGTAGGAGTTCTGCATGTATTGCATGTAAAATGTGTTTATTTATGAAGTTTTACCAGGATAATGTAGGCCTACCAAAGTATCAAAGGTAAAGTACTGATTGTAAAGAGTGGTCCCTTTCGGTGCTAAATAATCACTTTAATGCATTAATGTGTCCCTGGACTAAAATTGTTAAAAGCTTTTTACATAAATGTCTGAAAGTCAAACATTAAGCTAAACCAGGTTTTATTTACAGAAACTTTGAATAGTATAGCCTTCATTTTAAGGAAACAGCCAGCAAGCTAACATGCACACAGTGACAATTTTAGCATGTTTTGCAGGTATAATGTTAACGTGTTCACCATCCTAGTTTAGTATTTTAACATGCTAACATTTGCTAATTAGCACTAAACACGAAGTCCAGCTGAGGCTGATGGGATAAACCAAATTATTGGACAAATTAAAACCTAACCTGCTGGATGCGCTATAGGAAATACCAGAGGATCACCAAAGTTGTATGAAATTAGTCTCTACAGACCAAAGATATCTGTAGCAACTTTTAATCCATCCAGTAATTGTTGATTTATTTCAGTCAGTGGTAGACTAACAGACCAATCCATATTTCATGCTGCTTAGCATGGCTAAAAATGTAACATATTTCATGAGCTGTAAAATCTGAATCTTCACACTCACTCATAACATTAGCCGTCGAATAAATGTCTGTGAGGGTCCCCTCAGTTCTTGGTATTTCTAACAAACTGGACTCACATTTTTATCCGTGTAATGAATGTAAGTCCAAATTTCATGTTTGATCCTCACCAACTCCTGAGAAAAGAAATAATAATAAAAAAACAAATATATATACAGTACTTAATTACTTGTACAGTACTTAAGTAATGTACATACTGTTCCTTTCCTCCTCTGTCCAGCTGGCCAACAATTGACAAGAGAATTAACTGGTTGAAGTTTACTTTCATTTTGCAAAACCATTAATTGGAAAGATTTTTCTAATTAAATTTCCAGAAGCGATAAGGAAACCTCTTTGATAAGAGGCCTAAGAAGAGATAGAGGGCCTAATTACATTAATTACTCTATACCTGCAGGAGAAATCTGAGTCAGTAAGTTCTGCAGCCCTCTAATCTTTTCATAGAATAAAGCAGGAGGTGGACCACTGTACGGGTTTAGCCTGAGCCTGGCACGCTGCCAGGTACAGCTCACGTATGCTGGCCTCCCCCTCGTTTGATTTGAAGGAATTAAGCTATTAAACGCTCTTAATAACTGTGGAAATGGCTGCTCATTCTTCATGGCATTGTCAGTCCCTCCACGTCACAGACCTCTTTAAATGTCCTGCTGCGGCTGAAGTGTGAAAGTCAAACACAAAGTCCAGATCTTAATGATTAAACGAGCAGCAACAAAGCAGCTGTAGGGTGTTTGCAGCTGTGAGGAGAGAGGCGTCGACACCAAACCGAGAGCCTGTTTACGGACAGAAGAATCCTCAAAGGCCCATCTGGTGGGTCTGTGAAATAATGTGCACTGTGTCTGTGCTCACATGCTGTTCAGTCATTTTAACAGCAGCCCGGGGAAGTAAGAGCACAAAGAATTACAATGAACTGTTTTTGTTTTTTTTACAGGCCAGTTCTTTATTTCATTAATATTTAAAATGCACTTTGCTGTAAATATAAAACAGTACAGTGGTATTTCAAAACACCTGACACACTGTACAACATCGAAACTAAATTCATCTGCTACTTTGTTGTGTAAGTGGATTTAAAATTTGTATGGTATGATATGAGGGACATTTCACATCTGGAACGCCCCCTTAAGTTGGATTTAGGACTCAGAAAGTCGGGAGAACCTCGTCAACCCTGACCTCAAAATCAAGATGGGTTCTCTGAGTATCAACAGAGTGAAAACTGCAGTACTATACTGTTTATCGCACTTCTGTCTTATTTGTGTGTCATTACATCAGTCGTACACAGATACCTGTATTTGCATGTGCAAAATACCACGTAATGTGTTGTTATTAAACGGTAGTGCTAACAATGGCTAGAGGCGTCAAACTTGGTTTTCCAATTTAAATCTATTGTAGTACCGGAACGTGGTCAACTCGGGTGTAATGTCATTCCCCGCTCTGACTTCCGAGGTCAATGGAAGGCAGCATCTTTCCTCGCCTCTAGGCCGTGTTCAGACCGACTTAAGACCTGCTTGTATAAATGGAGCCAGTTCATTCTTTTTAATCGAGGGAGGTCGTTGACACAGCACGGGGCTCCGGGAAAACAGCACATGGTCGTCTGGCCAAAAGCTGCACCGGCAAGGCTCCACTTGGCTTTATGGAGTTTTATAAGTAGTTTCACCTCATTGTTTAGCTGCCGGCCTACAACTTTTACTTTAACTTTGGTTAAAGGAGAGCTACTATGCATTTCCATGTTTTACGTCTTATCTGTAATGTTACAATGTTGAATCTTCCCGTTAAACATGGCCAAAGCTTCAAATAATGAGGTTAAAGTATTTAAAAGAAATCCCTGTGAGCCAAAACCTCAGATTACCTCCTGTTCTGAACACTCTGGGTCCTTCTCAAGTTTCTTAATTCCATCCACGTTTCCCTCGCTGGCGTCTTAGTCCCGCCCACCGGGGATGCGTGGAGAGACGCAAGGAAACCTATGGTTCTAGAGACACGAGATGTCCTTTCCTCCAAAGCGTCACGTGAAGCGACGTCCATTTCTTATGACAGCGGCAGCTCTAACAGCTGTAGAGACACACGTGCACTGTGCTCACAGTGATCAGTGCAGAGTAGCATGATTCTCTCTGTAGCCTGTTTAACAATCACTTGTACTGGAATACATAGGTTACTGTAAGTCCTGCAGGGACCTACAGGATCTTTTCTACCGGCACAATGCTTATATTATCAGAATTTAGATTTGCTGATTCTGAATGTGAATTCGTTATTGACCCAGAATATGATCATGGTGTCTTGGGATTTTATTAGCCCAAATGTTTCAGGGAAATTGAAATTATGTAACTCATATCAAAGTCGACGCTCTACTGCATACAGTTTATTTATGCAAGTCATCACCGATCGATCACTGCGTTCCATCATATCAATCCAACGATTTTTTTTAGCGCAGCAGCGCTTTCATTTACTTTCAACAGCTGATTGTAGTCATTTGCCGCTGGCTGCTTCCATCAGATGCAGTTAGTGAGATCGGCTGGATGTGCACCTTTATTTTCCTTTGCTTGCTTCATTAGTGACTTTAGTACAGTTTAGTAACTTGTCCGACTCCTTAGGCTACGTGTTTACTATGTTTTATTGTCGTCTATTTGGGCTAAACACAGGAATGACCAGCCTCTCTTGTTCTTTGTACCTTGCTGTGTTTTGTCCCTTTATTCCAGGTAATTGGTGGGTGGAGTTGATACCTGGTGTGAAATGCAACACACCTGAGCAGGGGGTGCTCAGGTGGCTATAAAGGAGCCTGCTTGATGATTTGACTCCCTCTTCTCCTGGCCTGCCGACTGATTCTGTTTTGTTTGGTTCTTTCTGTTCTACACCCACACATACACTGCATACATACTGATCTGACACCTACAATTGTAAATTTTGCTTAATTTACTTATTAAAATATCTATTATTATTTTCAGACGAATACGACAAATAAGAGATGCACCCTCTGCTTTGAACTGCTTTTTCTACCAACGGCTCCATTGTACGACATACGGAGTCAGACGGATATGGTATTCCATATTTGGTCATTTGTCCGTTCCGCCCAGCAACAACAACAGCCTGGTGACATGCTTCAGGTCTTGGCCAATCAGAAGACAGTGGGCTTTGAGTGGGGGGGGCCTCAAAGAGACAGGAGCATCTACAGCTTGTTTCAAGCCAAGTCCACACATACACTGGTATTTTTAAGTTTAAGTTTGGTGGAGTTTCTTAAAATCTTCACCCTGGTAGAAGTTTTCAAAAATGTTCGGTTTCAGTGACCTGATACTGCGTTTCCGTGTGTATGAACGGTCAAACCGCGTAGAAAAAGTCACAGTTTTGAAAATACCCGTGTTCGTGTAGATGGGGCCTCAGACAGAGGCTGACATGAAGGGCCAGTATAAGATAGAAAAAGATTTTTTTGAACTTTGAATCATGCAAAGCTGCCATAAAAGGAGTCACAGAACAGCAATATAGGACTGGAAGGTCTCCTTTAACTCTCACCGATCTCATACACTCTAAAAACTAATTCAGGGGACCTTTAGTCATTACTTAAATATATATATTGTTGTTAAATAAAAAATCAAGTGCTTAGATACTGTTAGACTAAATTGTTATTTTATTGAGCTTGGATTATGCCTATTGATTCAATATACTATCATGACTTGTCAGAGTTTAACATCAGTTTCAGTTAATCAAAAAATACACAGTTTCCCTCTCTTGCATGTTCAAGGCCAGACTAGTGACCACAGGGCCTCAGCTGAAACCGCTCCGGTTATCATGTAGGCTAGCTATGTTTATAAATTACAAGTCGCTACGTTAGCCAGTTAGCTGGCTATGATTCAGATGAGAAGAGATACTAAAGATAACTCGCTAACACACAACATAACTCTTGCGAGGATCAACTTAATTATTAAGTTCATGTTACTTAGAAATGTGTTTTTATTGCTTTGAATTAATGTAA